CCCCCCCCCCCCCCCCCCCACCATCTAGGCATTCAGGCCGTTTTCCAGGCTCAGAGAAGGCCCACGCGTTGCCCAGTCACACGGCTAAGCTAGTAAAGGGCCAGAGCTGGGGTGTGAACTCAGGATACTTTAACTGCTTCCTGTGCCTGCACAACACCCCACCAGACAGAAATGTTCCCCCTTCTGCATCTGAGGAAACTGAAGCAGGAGGCAGCACCCACAGAGCTCTTGCAGCGTCACCCCAGTCTCCTCCTGCTACCTTCACACACAGGGCGGCTGCCCAGCCATGGCCCCCTCCCCATGCCCACTCTCCCTACCCGCTTCCTTGCCTGTGAGCCAAGGCCTCAGTCAGACAGCTCTGTGCTCAGAGCGGTGCTTGCCTTCCAGGCCCTGGATGCCATCGAGAGAGCCCAGGACCTGGCCGAGGAGGTGGGCAACAAGGTCAGACCTGATTCCGTCTCTGGGGCTGGAGTCAAGAGCCCAGGTGGGATTGTGGGTGGGTGGAGAGGGTTCCCGAGTCCGCTCATACCCCGAGCCCTTCCTGATCTCCAGGAGTTGCCCCAGCCACCCCCAGACCCCGGCTGTTTCTCTTTCACCAGAGAGCGCTGCAAAGGGCTGGGCGAGAATTCCGCAGTTCAGGGGGTAGCAGAATTCCTCAGAACTTTCTTGATGGTCATCAAAATTCCTAGTAGTGGCCTCCACTCACTGAGAGATGGGCATCCCAGGGCTCTTGTAGGTATGGCTTCTAGTCCTCACTGTCTCTCTGCAAAGGTGGGTATAGTGAGCCTCATTTTACAGATGAGAAAGGCGAGGCTCACAGGGGTGCTCAGGATCCCACTACCTGGCAACTGGCCTGTCTACACTGCCCAGATATATGGCCTCTCTAAATTCAATAATTGTATCCCAACCTCTAAACAGTGAAAACAGGCTCAGTGTTTCTCACATTCTTCTACAAGATGTGCATTTCTCCGAAGGTGGGTCATAGTCCCAAAATGCTTGGTGATAGCCACTCGGGTGTACCCGAGTAGCTTGGTCTGCTCAGAAATGCTAACAAGTTGCCGTGTGTATTTAACGAGAACAGGAAAACAATTATGGAGTCAATGCAACAGGTTCGGTCAATTAAACCCTTCAGAAACATGGGGTTCCAGCTGGTTCTAGGGGTGAAGACCACTGACCTCACCACCCCCTCATTCTGCCTGAGGGGAAACCAAGGCCCAGAGAGGGCAGGGCGTTTTTTCTAGGTCCATCAGCCGGGCAGGAACGTGCCCAGGACTGGACCCTGTACGGCCTGACTCCAGGACAGCGTCTTGGGCTGGGTAAGGGGAGGCGGGGCAGCTGGTCACCAGCACTGACCTGGTCTCGCCCCCTCCGCCCGCACTGCTGTCCCCGCGGGCCCAGCTGAGCCAGCTGAAGCTGCACTGCCTGAGCGAGAGCATCTACCGCAGCAAGGGGCTGCAGCGGGAGCTGCGCGCCCACGTCGTGCGCTTCCACGAGTGCGTGGAGGAGACGGAGCTCTACTGCGGCCTGTGCGGGGAGTCCATAGGCGAGAGGAACAGCCGGCTGCAGGCCCTGCCCTGCTCCCACATCTTCCACCTCCGGTGAGGGCTCCCGCTGGCCGGGAAAGGGGGCACGCGGGCCTCTTTGGGGTGCTCCAGGACCTAATCACAATAGTATTACTAACAGCAGACAGTGACATAGTGCTTTCTGCGTCCCAGGTGTTCCTAGATCAGTGATGGCGAACCTTTTGAGCTCGGCGTGTCAGCATTTTGAAAAACCCTAACTTAATTCTGGTGCCATGTCACATATAGAAATTTTTTGATATTTGCAACCATAGTAAAACAAAGACTTATATTTTTGATATTTATTTTATATATTTAAATGCCATTTAACAAAGAAAAATCAACCAAAAAAATGAGTTCGCGTGTCAGAGGTTCGCCATCACTGTCCTAAATGCTTCCCATATATTAACCCATTGGATCCTCCCATTCTTACAATCATTCTCCCCCAAAAGAATTCCGAGGTGGTCATTCTTACGATCATTCTCTCCAAAGAGAATTCCGAGAGGCCTCTGAAAGGTCATGGCATTCAGACACCTGCAGGTGACCCCTTCCGGGCCAGGGCAATGGGCAAGCAGGGCTGCAGGCAGGGAACTGAGGGCCATCCTGTTCCCCTGACACCTTCCAAGCCTCTGCAGAGGAGAGGGTAGGAGAGAGAGGCCCTGGCCCAGGATGGAATGACGGGCTCAGTGAGTGGACATAGCCCTTTGCCTCCCAAGGTGCCTGCAGAACAATGGGACCCGGAGCTGCCCCAACTGCCGCCGCTCTTCCATGAAGCCTGGCTTTGTGTGACATCGTCAGCACACATGTCACCTCACCTGCTCGGCTCCTCCACCCCTGACTGGCCATGTTTTGGATGCCTGTTTACTCCCGGAGCAACCACCAGGCCTCCTCGGGCCTCCACCAGCATCTGAGGCCTGCTGACGGCTGCTCCTCAAGGCCCCACTGTCATCGCCCACCTCTTTGTACTTTGTTCTTTATAGAAAAATAAACCGTTTGTACGTGGTCCCAGCGATTCTGACTTCCCTGCCTATGTGAGCGTCCTCAGACACAAGCGTCCCTCCGCACATGTGTGTGAGTGCCTCCAGCTGCCCCTCCAGGTTCTTGGGATGCCGGTGAGCCAGAGACAAAGATCTCTGCGGGAGGAGCTGCTGGCATGCAGGGGTGGGTGGGAGGATGCAATAGACAGTAATGATAATAATCAAGCAACATAGAAAGTCTGTTAGGGCCCAGCTGGCATGGCGCAGTGGTTGAGCATCAACCTATGAACCAGGAGGTCACAGTTCAATTCCCAGTCAGGGCACATGCCTGGGTTTCGGGCTGGATCCCCAGTGTAAGTGTGCAGGAGGCAGCTGATCAATGATTCTCTCTCATCATTGATGTTCTCTCTCTCCCTCTCCCTTCCTCTCTGAAATCAATCAATACACACACACACACACACACACACACACAAAGAGAGTCTATTAGAAAGATGTTATGGACTGAATTGTGTTCCCCAAAGTTCATATGTTGAAGCCCTAACGCAGAACAGAGGACACAGGTGCAACAAATGAGTCTCATTTGATCCAGAGAGACCTGTCTTACTCAGTGAGATGAAAAGAAACGATTACAGACGTGATGTTTATTTTTTTTATTTTTAATTGTAGAGGCTCATTGCCAACTGAGCTCTTCCCACAGGGGCAGTGCTGTGGCTCCTGCTCTGAAGTTAGTAGCAGCAGTGATCATTCTTTAAAACTGGTTAAGGAGTCTCTTTTGGTGGCCAGCTTCTACTTTAATAAATAATTATAAAAATGCTGCCTGAGGTGTTATTCCCCCCGCTTTTTTTGCCCTTTGCACACGGCTGGCGTATGTTGTTTATAGTTTGGGAGGCAGAGCCGTTGTGCAAATCCCCTAATTCCTAACTGGGCCATACTCTGAGGTTGAATCACTCCTTCCAAAGCGCCCTTTCAGTTATGGGCCAAAATAAGACTACATTTCCCAAGGGGCTTTGCGGCTCTCGTCCTTTCTCCCGCCCCTTCCGGTTATACATCCAGGCCCCGCCCGCTGCACGCGTCGGCCAATAGCACAGTACAAACAGGACGAGGGCGGGAACTTCTCAGGAGACACGGGGTGGGTCCCGTGGCCCGCGCGTGGTCTTTTGAACCCGAGAAGCAGATTCGCGGCTGGAGATAAATCGGCTAGAGTCAGGACCTGAAGAAAGAGGTCTGCTACTAGTCCACGGCTGGTGTTAAGAAAGATAGTACTAATTTTCTGCCACGGCTCCTGCCCAGTCCGATCTTCGATCTTTTCCTCCAGGAAACGAATCTGCTGCCGAAACTCGAGAGTTCAGTGACTCGGCAGGAGAAGATGGCGACCGTGTGGGACGAGGCTGAGGTCCGCTGTGGGGCAGCTGGGGGTCCTAGAGCCGGGTCCGCGGGGAGACCACCTTGGCGGGAGGGGAGGAGATGCTCGGGGGTCGAGGTCTGGCCCGGTCCCAGGGTCGGGGCCGCTTGGGATGTGGGCAAGGATCCTGATTCCTTCGTTCTAGTCCTATGGACGGGGAAACTGAGGCCGAGTGGGCTTGGAGAAAGCGGGCACGTGCCTTTAATTAAAAAAAAAATTTTTTTTTTTTAACAGCAAGATGGAATCGGGGAAGAGGTGCTCAAGATGTCCACAGAAGAGATTATCCAGCGCACACGGCTGCTGGACAGTGAAATCAAGGTGGGCGTCCAGGGCAGGCCCGGGGTCCCAGCTGCCTCCCTGGGGGGGTGGGGGTGGGGAGCATGGGGACCCTGTTTCCTCCTTGGGTCACAAAAAGAGAAAAGAAAACTAAGCCTTAAGAGGAACCAGAGAAGGACAGGATGTTGGGAGCTCAGGCCTGGAAGTAGGAATCGGACGGCCATTCCCAACGAGGACTTTCCGTATTCCTCTCGAAAATGCTTCCTTCAGGAAATCGTCATTTTACAGAGAGGAAACTGAGGCCCAGAAGGTTTTTATTGTGAACTACCCAGCCCTTAATGAAAGGCGGAACCTAAAACTTCTCTTTGACCCGAAGTCCTACGCTTTCCCCTCGACTACAACTCCTTCACCAGGAGGTCGGCCGAGGGGCTCGGCACTCAGGGAGCCTAAGAGCCGAGGGAGCCGGAGCGGGAGGGTCCCCTGCCATGACTTCACTCCTTGCAAGGCCTTGCGATAAACAGCCAAGGCCCAGCATTTGCTTCCACTTGCCTTCATCCCAGATTATGAAGAGCGAAGTGTTACGAGTGACCCACGAGCTCCAAGCCATGAAGGACAAGATCAAAGAGAACAGTGAGAAGATCAAAGTGAACAAGACCCTGCCCTACCTTGTCTCCAACGTCATCGAGGTGTGTGTGTATGTGGAGGGGAAGAGAGGGGTTAGAGGGGCGTGGAGACGGCCTGTGATGGGCCACTGGGGAAAGAGTGGGTGAAGTTTTGAGGCCCAAATTGCACGTTGGGGTCCCCTTCTGAGGGTCCCCTTCCTAGTGTGCATGTCTAGGTGCATGTATAGGGCTGGAAAAGGCCTCAGAAGCCTCCCATGTCTAACGTTCTACTGGTTACTTTTCCTCGGGGGTAGATGAGCTTTGTCTGTGCAGAGAAGCACCATCTAAACCAGTGGTTCTCAACCTTCCTAATGCCGCGACCCTTTAATACAGTTCCTCATGTTGTGGTGACCCCCAATTTCATTGTTACAAATTGAACATAATTAAAGCATAGTGATTAATCACAAAAACAATATATAATTATATATGTGTTTTCTGATGGTATTAGGCGACCCCTGTGAAAGGGTCGTTCGACCCCCAAAGGGGTCGCGACCCACAGGTTGAGAACCGCTGATCTAAACAAGAGGTCTTATCAATCCCATGGTTTATCCACTGCACTTGCTGAGCTCAGGGCCAGTGAGGAGCGAGGTAGGGATGGTCAGCCCTGCTGGCGTTGGGACAGCCTCAGCCCAGGAAGCACCGGCTCTGGGGAGTTCAGTGGGCTGAGCCCGGCTTCTTCATCTAAGCTCTTCCCCCTCCCAGCTTTTGGACGTTGACCCCAATGACCAAGAGGAGGATGGTGCCAACATTGACCTGGACTCCCAGAGGAAGGGCAAGTGTGCCGTGATCAAAACCTCCACGCGACAGGTGAGGCTGGCTCAACAGAAGGAGAACGGAGGAGGGTGAGGGTGGATGTGGGAAAGGACTAGGGAGCCTCCCTGAGGGCAGTCACTGAGGCTGCTTCTGGGTTTTTCTGACAGACGTACTTCCTGCCTGTGATTGGGTTGGTGGATGCTGAAAAACTGAAGCCTGGAGACCTGGTGGTGAGTGGTGTCCCTGAGCCCAGGCAGAGCTTTTCCAGTGAATCTCTCCCACTGAGCAGCTGAGCCCTGCCCCAGGCCCAGGTCACTGCTGGCCCGGAGTCTCCCAGCAGAGCAGCCCGAAGAGTCAGACACTGTCTCCCTGCTCTGTGAATCTTGTGTTGGCCAGTTCTGTATCATTCTTTTCACTCTTCAGATACCTGTCACCCAGCCAATTAATTAGGCCTTGAGCTGGGACAAATCTGAAGGCTTTGTGCTGTGTCTCCAGGGTGTGAACAAAGACTCCTATTTGATCCTGGAGACTCTACCCACAGAGTACGACTCACGGGTGAAGGCCATGGAGGTGGACGAGAGGCCCACAGAACAATACAGTGACATCGGGGGCTTGGACAAGCAGATTCAGGAGGTGAGGGGGGTGTGGCAGCTACGAGCAGCTCGCCAGCCTTGTGTGTGTCTCTGCCTCATTGACCAGGGCACTTCCCCTAATGTGCCTCTTATCCTCATAGCATCCTAGGGAGGCAAGAAGGATGCCGTGTGACAGTTCAGGGGGCTGAGATCCAGAGACATTGAATGATTTGCTTAGGGTCATGGGAGGTTAAGGCCTGGAACTCAGGCTCAGTGTTTCCACCATGTGCTGCTGTTCCTAGAGAGACCATAGTCAGCCTTGATGGGAGTGAGGTTCTGCGTTCTCTTGATAGGGGGGAAGGGGAGGGCAGTGTCCCTGAATTGGAACAGGCGGGTTACAGATTGGGGTCGAAAGCATTAAAGGTTGGGCTGTAGGAGCCCTCAGGGCTTCCCTCTCCTCACCCAGGACTTCTTCCTGGCAGCTGGTGGAGGCCATTGTCCTGCCAATGAACCACAAGGAGAAGTTTGAGAACTTGGGGATCCAACCTCCGAAGGGGGTGCTGATGTACGGGCCCCCCGGTACGGGGAAGACGCTGCTGGCCCGGGCCTGTGCTGCACAGACCAAGGTGAGCGCTTTGGGAGGATGGAGAGAGATGGGCAGGCTGAGCATGAGGGCCCTAGGGGACCTGTCGTGGTGCTTTTGGCCTGATGGCGTCAACCCCATTCCCACCCCACGCAGGCCACCTTCCTGAAGCTGGCTGGCCCTCAGCTGGTGCAGATGTTCATCGGGGATGGTGCCAAGCTGGTCCGGGACGCCTTTGCCCTTGCCAAGGAGAAAGCTCCATCCATCATCTTTATTGATGAGCTGGATGCCATCGGCACCAAGCGGTAAGGGGGTGCTGGGTACCACCAAGGAGATTGTTCTAAATTCCTGCTATCCCACCATGTCCCCTTTCCTGGGGTGATGGCAGCTTTACTTTTGTGTCTACTTCCTAAATTCTTTTCTAACTAGCTTCCCTGCTTCTTACCTATTCCCCTGACCATCCATTTTCACAGCTGGCTGCGTGTTCCCTACACAAACCTTGTCACTTCACTCATGTACCCACAGCTCCTCACACAAACGGATTCTACTTAAAACCCTTTCTGGGCCTCCTCCATTGCAGCTTGGGCTAAATGCCTGGGCTTTCCATGACCTGCAAGGCCCCCTCAGTGGCTGTCCCTGCTCCCCTCCGGCCTCATGCTGGTTCTGCCCCTGCCTCCCCCTCTGGACTCCCCAGAGCCCCCCGGGCTTGCAGGCCCCCCTGGCTCTGCAGCGAGAGAGATTGTGCACCTGCTGTTTCCTCTCTGGAATGTGCTCTTCCTTCTCCCTCTTCTTCAGTGATCGGTTGCCCAGCTGATGTGTTTTCAGCCTTTAGATCTCAGCCGAGGGACACTTCCTCAGGGATCCTGCCTCGGTTCCCCTTACGCTCCAGTCTGGGCTGGGTCCCGTATTTCTAAGCTTAGCTCAGTTTGCAGTGGCATGTTCATCGGGCGCTGGCCCAGGCAGTGGGTGGTTTTATCCTCAGCTCCCCACCTGGTCCCAGAGCCTCCCCAGGCTCTGAATGCTGCAGTCCACAGTTACACCTTTTCTGTGCTAGTCCCTGGCTGGGGGCCCCAAGTTGAGTGAGACATTTCCCTACCCTGGGTGGGTTGGGTTCAGCTCTGGTGGGTGGAGAGGAGGGGAGGGGAGGGCTCTGCCCAAGCAGTGGCCTCACCAGTGTCTTGGGCCTCCTACGGGCCTCAGCTTTGACAGCGAGAAGGCCGGGGACCGGGAGGTGCAGAGGACGATGCTGGAGCTTCTCAACCAGCTGGACGGGTTTCAGCCCAACACCCAGGTCAAGGTGAGTATTGTTGAAGATGAACAACATGGGGCTTTGAGGCCAGGGTACCTTCCCGGTTACCTCGCTATGGCAGCCACAGTAGGAATTGGGGTCTGTCTTGAACATCCCCTGCCCTTTCACCTGGACCCTGGGCTGTCTTTCTGCCTGTTGTGGCCATGACTGCTGCCAGTCTGAACCCCCTTCTCCTCAGTTCAAGTTGCTGCTTCTTTCCTTGTTCAGGTAATTGCAGCCACCAACAGGGTGGACATCCTGGACCCTGCCCTGCTCCGCTCCGGCCGCCTGGACCGAAAGATTGAGTTCCCGATGCCCAACGAGGAGGCCCGGGCCAGAATCATGCAGATCCACTCCCGAAAGATGAATGTCAGGTGAGCAGGCATCAGGAGCAGGCGCTTCGTGCTGGCCTCCCAGGCCTCCGCCCATCCCTTCCTTTCCCAGCCCGTTCACACACAGCACCTTTCTGTGTCATCTTCTAACCTCACTTCTCCCCGCGTGCCTGAGGTAGTCTTGTGGCTGCTCTACTCCTTAGACTCCACCTGCCTCCTCCCCCCCCACGATAGGAAGGTCTGCAGGCCAGAGGGCCTCCGTTTCCCGGCCTCGCTGACCTCAGCACATGGGCACAGCCCAACACGGTTCAGGGGGACCCAGCCAGGGGCCAGGTGGACCTAGGTTTGGATCTCTGTGACCTTCAGCAGGTGACATAACCTCTCTAAACCTCAGCTTTCTTATCTGGGACTTGGGGGTAATGGCACCAACCTTACGGGGTTGTGGCAGCATCAAGCACAGTGAGATTTTTAAGTGGTAGCAGCATGCTGATACAGCCTGTGCTACTCAGGAGAGCGCAGATGGCCATCCTTATCTCCACACCCTCCTGCTCCCCCGCCTCAGCCTGAGTAGGTCCCTGGGGTCTCCGGTACAGATTTCTAGAAGGCTGGAGCTCGAGACAGAGAAACCACCTTGTCTAGCCTGCTTCCCCCAGCTTGTGCCATGAAGAGAACGAGGCACAGTGTGAGCTGATGGGGTGGGGCCGCGTGGGAGCACATCTGCTCCCCCTGCCCTGTCCCCATAGGTAACTGAGCCCTGTGGCGTCTGTCCTCCCACAGTCCTGATGTGAACTACGAGGAGCTGGCCCGCTGCACAGATGACTTCAACGGGGCCCAGTGCAAGGCTGTGTGTGTGGAGGCGGTGAGTGGTGGGGTGAGGTGGGTGGTGGGTGCTTCCTGCCCCCTTCCCTGGACAGGGCAGCGTGACTTGGCCAGTGGACTGCTGAGGGGAAGAGGCTGAGAAGGCTTTGGCCCCTGGGAGCCAGGCCTAGGGTGCGGGGAGGCACCCTGAAGCTTGTGTGTCTTGGGTGCAGGGCATGATCGCACTCCGCAGGGGTGCCACGGAGCTCACCCACGAGGACTACATGGAGGGCATCCTGGAGGTGCAGGCCAAGAAGAAAGCCAACCTGCAGTACTATGCCTAGGGCGCCGCCCACCACACCATCCCCTGCTCTCTTGCTGGTTAACATTCATAATAAAAGATGGTTTCAGGTCTCTGACACCTGTCTATCTCGCTTCTTAGTGGAAGGGTGGGGGTGCTCGCACGAAACCCCTTCCCCACAGGCTCCTGCCTGGAACTCAAGACAGCTGTGGCCTCAATCCGGTTGTCACGGCGAGGCCCTCAGAGGCCTGTCCCATGGGTCCCTCCAGACTCCTCCCTCCCCACTCCCTGCCCCACCTCTGAGCTTTCAGGGTTGTGGTGCTGGAGCCCTAGGATGAAGGCCCTACATGGAGCCAGCCTTTTCTTTTTTCCACATTTTGGTGCTCTGGCCCTTGGCCTCGCTTTCTTGTAGAGCCAGACTCTGGGCCTTTTCCCCTTGAAACACCTTTGTTTCCTAGCCTCCAAGCCTCTTGTTTTTGCACATGTCTTCATTAGCTGTTGTTTTTAAAAAAATATTTTTAATTGATTTCAGAGAGGAAGGGAGAGGGAAGATAGAAACATCAATGATTAGAGAGAATCATTGATTGGCCCCTCCTGCACGCTCCGCCCCTGGGGATTGAACCCACAACCTGGGCAGGTGCTTTGACTGGGAATTGAACCGTGATCTGCTTCATTGGTCAACACTCAACCACTGAGCCACACCTGGTCGGGCCCCGTTAGCTCTTTTGGTCCATTTCCTCAGCTGAAAATGAACCTTGAGCAGGATCTTGGTTCCATATGCTTTGAAAGCGCCCCTGAATGGCCTTTCAAAGCAGCAGCTCTTCAGAACTCAGCAGCTCTCACTTGCCCTCTGACGAAAGCCCCTACACCCTCCTGGTCCCTGGTCCCTTCCCCTGAGGAACATGCCTAATTGGGCTACAGGCTGGGCCTGGGCCTTCTGGAGGTCAAGCTCCTAACCAGCTCCGATCCCTCCCCTGTGATCCCACCACCTCCAGGCCCGCCTTCCTCCCACAGTGCCCTGAGATGCACCTAATCATCGACTTCCCACGCCTGCCTGAGGAGCCCCGCACGGCCTCTGGAGGACTGGGTCTGTCCCCTGCCCGGCTCAGCTGTTCCCATTCCTGCATTCCCTGTTCCCTCTTCTGACCAGTTGGGGCATCACCTGGTCAGACACCCTAGTAAACCTGCACACACCACCTGAGGCTCCACATGGGAGCCCCAGCGCTGCCAAGGGGAGGGGGTGCTGGCTGGAGCCCGGGTTCCTTCCTTGACAGATCAGGCGCATGTCCACCAGGTCCCGGTGTGTCAGTCAGGAGCAGCGGGTCCCTTTTTGCTGAAACGAATGATTCAGAGCCAGGCTGTGGGCACAGCAGTTCGGGCTTCACAGCCCTGAGCAGACTCGGTGGTGCTGTGCAGACATGCTGCTCTCTGCCAACGGGCTAATGGAGGCTGTCCTGCTTGGCTTGGATAGCACTGTGGGGAAGCAGCGCCTCCCGGTGCCTGGTCCTGTCCTTACACTCAGCACATTCAGACATTTTTCTTTTTAATGAAAATTAACAATTTCATTGAGGCTAAACCTGGAGACGCCTTTATGGATGGAGCTCCCTTCCTGGATTAAATTACTCTGGGGCAGGCTGGGAAAAAGCCGCCGGTTCGTAGGTCTATATGAGGCCACCACCCTTGGGGGTGCGTGGGCTACAACACAGTGCCAGGCTTGTTTTATTGGGACAAAAAGCTAACAAGACAAGCCAGGAAACTGAAATGCAATCCCATTCTGAGAAGCACTGCAAGGGTAACAGTTCAGAGACAGCACAGAGGAGAAGGGTGGGAGGTGGGGACGAGACCGGCAGGCGCCAACCGGCGCAGGGCCTTGGAGCGCCAGCCCAGTAAAGCCCTGCTCGACCGTGGCTGGTGCACAGGACAGAGGCAGCCAGTTTGTGTATAATATTTATTTGCATCTTATATATAGAACAGGTATTTACAGATACAAATGGAATCAGCAAAACGGCTGTGAAACCATTCAGACCCTTTGGCCACTTCTGAGAATGTCCGAGGTCGAGCAGCAGGGCTGGGCCTGGCTGTGGAGTGGGCCAGCTGAGTACCTGGGCGTCAGCCAAGGGAAATAGCTGGGGATTATGGCTTCAGCATTCTCCCAAAGCACATTCCTGAGTGCTGACCACATGGAGCCCTCACCACCCCCACCTAAAAGGGGCCCGAGCAGGGAGGGGCAGCCACGAACCACTCACTTCCTGCCTCTAGGATATCTGCCTGGCCCCTGTGCTGGCGCAAGCAACCCTGAGCTGGACCGGGAGGTCTCCCTGGCCCAGGGCTGCTGGCTGCCCTGCAGGCTGCTGTTTGGCAGCTGGAGGTGGCAGGAGCTGCTGGTGCTGCCACAGAGCATTCACTGGGGGACGGGAGCTGGCCCAGGTCTGAGAAAGCATCTCTCGGCTTCATGCTGGGAGGGTAGGACTGTCAGTGCTGAGTGGGGCTGGGGGCTGCGAGAGCACCTGCCTCTCCTTTCTTTGGCTTTAGAGATGGCGAAGGAAGGGCCACGACCGTGGATGCAGCAGAGTTCACCCCAGCCTCGGCCCCTAGGCTGCCCAGGGCTGGGTGCATGAGCAGAGGGGTTTACTCCCTCAGCCAGGGACCTATGAGGCCCTAGTGGGAGACAGCTTTGGGGTTCCTTGCAGCCAGGGGCTGCTGGGGCTGCCCTTCACTCCCCTGGGGGTTGTGGTGGGGAGAGGCCTCTGCTTGGGACCAACGCTGGCTTCCTCGCTGCTCTCTCTGGGAGGTGCAAGAAGACAGGGTGGCAAGGAGAGAGGACCACAGTGTGGCTGGGGCAGGCGCGGGCATTGGGCCCTGGGCATGAGGGATCACAGTGTCGGTCTCACACACCTCTGTCCACACGTGCACACCACACACACACACACACACACACACACACACACACACACGTGCGTGCCATCCTCTTGTCTGGTAGGAGGCTCGCTGGCTCTCAGACACTCGCCCTCTCTGCCTTCACACACGATCACAGAGTAAATCCGAGTCTCTTATTGCTGTGGGGGGAGCGGGCGTCAGGGATGGTTACTCCACCAAGAGCGAGAACAGCACCATCACTACGATCCCCGTGCAGAGCAGAAGCACTTGCTGCAGGGAGTGCCTGTGGGGAGAGAGGCTGGGGCTCAGGGGTTGGCACGGGGTGAGGGGCAGGGAAGGGGCCAGAAAAGCCCCTCCTCCGCCAGCCTCTAAGGGCCCGTGAGTGGCAGTCCCAGTGAGTCACTCACCACGGGTCGTCTTCCTCCAAGATGTCGGGCAGCACGTTCACCAGGGCGATGTAGAGAAAGCCGCCAGAGGTGAAAGGCAGGATCCAGGCCACAGTCTCCTCTGCAGTGGGAGAAGGCCCGACTGGCTGGGAGCCCACGGGTCCCTCACCCCTCCCGCAGTGCGGACCGAGGGCAGGACCCGGGCTCAATATCGGGATGGGGCCGGTGTGCCCTTGGCTGGGACCCCTCTGCTGATGGCCACCTGCCACCACCACACACCCCGCCCGTACCTACTCCCTTGGGGGACTGTGTACAGATGGCGAAGCAGGCGCCCAGCAGGCCCCCCAGTGCCGTGGAGAGCTGTAGCTTGGCTGCGCTCCATCGGTCAAAGCCAGCCCGGAGCAGGATGGCAAAGTCGCCCACCTGAGGGAAGGTCCAGAGGATCACTCTGGGCCCCAGTAGGACCAGACCCCGAGCACCTCAGGGACGGACACGCACACGAGCCCCTGCACCCACCCTGCTGCTGGGCCCCAGCCCGCACCCCCTCGCTGGGCCCCCAGGCCCTCTGGAACTCACCTCATGGGGGATCTCATGCAGGAGGATGGCCATGGTGGTCAGGAGCCCGATCTGCAGGAAGGGGAGTCTGTGGGGTCTGTGCCGAGGGCCAGGGCACCCCCTGTCCACTCAGTCTACCAGTGTCTACTCTGCTCTGAGCACTCTGGCTGGCCACCGTTCGGTGACCAGAAACACAGCAGCCAATCAAACAGACAAGGAAGCTGCCCTCATGAAGCTCACAGTCTGGAGGAGGGAGGCCAGGACTGAGTAAACACATGAGCCGTGTGTCACTCACTGACAGCTGCTGCGGGGAGGAGGACTGGGTGCCATGGGGCAGGAGTAATGGGGCCTAATCAGACGAGGGGTCAGCAAAGGCCTGTCTGAGGAAGTACATTTAGCCAAGGCCTAACGGCTGAGGAGCCAACATTGAGGGGAGGGGGGGGGGGGAAGAGCATTCACGCAGATGAACAGTGTGAGGTGGAGGCCATGAAGGAGGGGAAAGCGTGGTGTTCACAAGTCGCAGACAGAGGGCAGGGGAAGGTGGGGGAGCATCTGGAAGCAGGCAGGCAGAGGCATGGATCCCCAAAAGGAGTGTCTGCAGCCAGGAGAACAGACCAGTGTCTCGGGACCAAAGAAGGCCGCGTCCAGGAGAGCGACAGGGAGGACTGGGGCTCAGATGAGGGTGTTGCTGATGCAGGGAGCAAGAAGTGATGGACTGGAGACCTATTTTAGAGGCAGAGCCAACTGGTCAACACAAGCACCATCATTCCCACTGGAATTGCCTGGGCCCACCTGCCCCAATCCCCACTCACCTTCTTGCTCACCAGGAAGCTGGCAGCCACAGCCAGCCCATGAGTGAAGTTGTCGATGGTGTTGGCCAGCAGGTTGAGATAGCCACTGACCTGGGTGAGGGGAGAGAAAGCCAGCTGAACAGGGCAGGCAGGGCTGAGGTGGGCTGGCCACTCGGGTGGGGCGGCTGCAGGAGGAGGGGGCCCTGAGTGGGCCACTCACTTTGATGCTCTGGACCACGGCGCTCAGGCCGGGCTCTGCAGCCGGCTGGGCCACATAGCGGCCTCCACTGAGCACGGCGGCAGCAGCAGCGGGGTCTTTGCGGGGGGCCTAGGTCCAGGAGAAGGAGGGAGAAGGTGACATTAGATGCCCTCCCCCCGCCCCCCGCTTGGCCAGGCTGGACACAGAAGGGGAGCGAGAGATGGAGAAACAGAGACAGGGAGCACCCCTTTTCTCTGTCTAGACTTCTCTGCTGCTTGATCCGCCAGGTGCCCTCAAACTCAATAGACTG